ATTCTATCACCTGCCTTAATAGCCTCCTAAAAGCCACAGGTGGATGTGTGTGCCCATCCCAATTACTCCACCACATGATGTAGGATCCCCTTTGCAATGTTTTAAGAAAGGCATCATTTATCTTGCTTGTTATGATGCACAGGAGCCATTAATCGTGGTTTAATCACATGGTTTAACTGGTTTCTACATTCAGTTTAAAGCCAGCTTATGGCAAGAACTGGATGGCTGCACAGCTCAGATATATATGACCTTATGAACTGCTACAAGCCAGAATATTTTTTTGAGGGAGGCGATTCTGCCCCTGTACTCCACTCTGGTGAGACAGCACCTGGAGTACTGCATCCAGCTCTGAAGTCCTCAGCACAAGAAAGATGCAGACCTGTTGGAACAGGTCCAGGAAGGCCATAAAAATGATCAGGGGGATGGAACACCTCTCCTATGAGGAAAGGCTGAAACAGGTCAGGTTATTCAGCCCAGAGAAGTCTTCGGAGAGACTTTACTGCAAGCTTTCAATACTTAAAGGGGGCTTAGAGGAGAGATAGGGACAAACTCCTTAGCAGGGCCTGTTGCGATAGGACAAGGGGTAATGGTTTTAAACTAAAAGAGGGTAGATTCAGACTAGATATAAGGAAGAAATTTTTTACAATGAGGGTGGTGAAACACTGGAATAGGTTGCCCAGAGAGGTGATAGATGCCCCATCCCTGAAAACATTCAAGGCCAGGTTGGACAGGCTCTGAGCAACCTGATCTAGTTGAAGATGCCCCTGCCCATGGCAGCAGGGGTTGGACTAGATGACCTTTAAAGGTCCCTTCCAATCCAACCCATTCTATGATTCTACAATTCTAAGATTTTACAGTTCTAAGCACCAATTTTTCCCAGGGAAACAAGTGAACAACCTCTATTAACTGGTGGTTCTAGTCCTAAATTATTCTAGAAACACTTTACAAGAAGTTTAAGAATTCCTTGAACACTCATTCATAGTGTACTGAAGGAACCAGCACAAAATAAAGGGGAAAAACATTTGCTTAAGTTTGTTCTAGCCAAAAAAGACACCACTCAGCAAAATGTTATTCCTCTAAATTTAAGACAGAAAGCGTATAGAGGATAAGGCCAGACTTATCTTGAATGGGGTAGGGGAAAAGGAAAGCAGCCTCTTCAATAGTTCAAACAATACATTGAAATTTGAACACCTGACTTACAGGAGTACCAATAGGAACAAGTTAACAGCTAGCAGCTTAGAGGGCACAATTACAAACACACACCCCAAGAAGAGGAGTGTTGCAGACCCACAGGTAGAGTACTGTCTTACAAGCAATACCTCTAACATTCCACTGTATCAGAAATGTATTTACTGACTGCAGCATGCATCTTTACTGGACTACGTATTCAGAGGTTTTGAGAGTTTGTGATTTTAATTATGCTGCTATCCTAAAACAGTTACTGTATGGATAAAGATACTTCCTTATTTTCAGATCTGACATCATATTTTACAGTAACATTTTTAAATGTAAAACCTGTTCTCCTCATTACTATACTTACTAGAGCCTCCCAACCTTAAGGTAAAAGAATGAACAACCCTTTTTCATGTTTGTCTTGAGCACCAAGTACACAGAAGTTCACACTAGTGGAAAATATCTTTGAATTTATTCACAGTAGCTAAAGCCAGAACAGTCACTGGGGCAATACAAAGGCCTTTGTAAGCTCAGCTGGTGCCTTCTTTCTTTAAAAAAAAAGTTACAGTGACAGTGTGGTGTCTCTCCCACCCCCCACTTCAAGAAAGTTTAAAGTGAAGTTCACCCCAAACTTTAGAGTAGGAATGAAAAAGTACAAAGTAAGAATCCATCTTGGTTGTAAAGCTACTTAAGTTTTTTTTTTTTTTTGAGATGCATGTTTCATGTGAAGCCCTGATACTTACTCTTTATAGCCTGGATCATCTTTTTTTTTTTTTTTAAACTTTCTCAGCTACACTGAAAGAGGCAGACATTAAAGCTTTTAAACTATACAACATCTATCCTAAAATACTGGTCTACCAAGTCATTCCTGCAAGGAATATAAACTGTATACCTGTTAGAGGACTTTAAAAAATCTGTTCCATTAAGGCATGCAAAAGAAAACTCCCTGAAATACAATTAAGGGAAAATCCTTTTGTTTCTTTGTAGCATTCAAGGATCCAATCACCTTCACGTAAGACAGAATTTAGCATCTTGGTTTAGCACACAAATACCTAGGATGAAAAAAATATTTCCATTTTGACAGGGAATTAGTGTCTGTGCCAGACAATCATTCTAATGGAGATCCAACAATACCATCTGGCTGGCTGTCTCATTCCAAGAATAATTCTGTCAGGTGGCAAAGCTTATAAAAAGAGTATGAAAAGGCCACAGCACCAAGCAGCTCACTGGGACACTTCAGGTAAGAACCATAAAAAAAACCAAGTGTCATAGCTCTGTAATACCAAGTCAATGAAAGCACTGGGTTTTTTCTGTATTGTCTGAACAATTGTTTCTTTTGACAAAAAGCTGTCTTACTATTTAAAGGAGACTTGTATGCTTTTGGGTCCCACACAGAATGGATGTACTCTGTGCAAGAACTCACTACTGCCTACTAGTTAACAATTAACATGGTCCACTTGATTTGATAATGCAAGAGGTACAAATTTGCAAGAAACGCTAATTGTGCACCTATTTTGGAAACGCCTTCAGCTACAGCCATATTAAACAGATGTTTCAACTTTCTGAATGCAACACAAAAGAGATTTACCTACTGTTTTTGTGTTATGCTTATAGGGTACTTCAAAAGAACATTAAAAATGCATGTTCTTAGTTGTAACTTGTTTCTTTTACTGGCATATGCCACAAAATGTACAATTCCCAGATGGGAATAAAAAAATTAAGTTTCCTACGGGTGAGAAATGGCTAACAAAACCAGCACAACATGATCTAATGGAAGAGAAAATAAATGGCACTCATAAGGCCTGGGCTATGCATTTCACTGTGATAAGCCTTCTCATGCTTTTAAGAACAGTTCATATCTAGCACCACCATTTCAAACATACTGAACAATCAGCTCGCTCACCAGATGGTCCTATGGGTAACACTTGGTCAAATAAACATAAAATATGCACTATATGTAGATATCTTCTGTTTTATCTTTTCTTTTGGTGTTGAGACTCTTCAATGAGAACTACACATAGGCACTTTGTGTTTTCTTATAGCTACAGCATAAAGCCTCAAATACATCCCAGGGCAATCAAGCCAACTAGAACATTAAGCCAAAATGAAATCTGCATTTGCAAAGAAACAATTACCTTTATCAATAAACTGACATCACAGCTTTAACAGCTCAAGTAGGCTGTTTAGGTACTTAAAGTTGCAAAGGGAAGGGTCTTGATACTCAGAAAACTCCACATTTATTCTTTTTTAAAAAATATTGAGTTTAACTATGTAAGATTAAAAAAAACTTAAAGAAGCTGGTAACACAGAAGTGAAATATAATCAAGCTACTATCTTTAGAACAGTAGCCTGAGAAAAACATGGCAAATTGATATTACAGGAACACTTAACAGAGTATCTTTAGTGACACAGAACAGTCTGAGCAGAGAAGAGATTAACAGCTTTGCTTTTTCAGGTCAATTTATGCTATCAGAACATTGGTACAATCCTGCATAAAGTTGCTCCAAAACCTGTAATAATTTGTATTTCTCTCCCCCTCGCCCCTCATTAATAAAATTCCATCCAGAACACTCCTGAGAAGCAGTCCTTAGACATTTTTCTTGCTGCAGCCATATTCCCTTAAATGTCCAGGTCTGTAGGAACTCGGTTCCCTTGTCGTTACACATTTCACTAACATCTACTTCTGTGTAAGTCTTTTCCTAGCCATTACTACTTCTAAACCTTCTGCAAATTTGAAGCAGGACATACATACAAGACTGAATACAGTTCTCAGTTCTACTCTTTCAAAACTGCAGTTAATGACTACTACAAAATGACATTTGTTACTAGGAATTTATAGTAACTGGAATTCTCATACAGGGTAATAAAACTTCCAATAGCTTCAACAAATCTTTATTATGCTGTATGTCTTTCTCAAGGTAGCTTAAAATTAACTCTAGTACTATATTAGCACGTCACTAGAAGCTTGGGAAGCCAAGTCAAAATAAAAATTTATTTTAATTGTTTCAAAACACACGACTAAAATCTACATAATTATTAAAATAGGCTTACAGATATTCTTTGATTAACAGTTTGCATCACATAACAAAGGCATATTTTAAATGCAGTATTTTCTCACAATTTTAACATACAGGTATTGCTAAAATTTTTCAAGTAAAAAAAGCATACTCTACTGAGTAGCCAATACAGCTAATTACATTCTTGCATCTTAAGTTACATAAGGAATTTTAGGATTCTCTTAATTACTTTCCCAAAACTAATAGTGATGCTCAAGACTGCAGGTACATAAACTGTCATTAATGAACATAACCACATTGATTACGTAGTCTAAAGACAACCAGGACTTAAAGGGCTTCAGTTGAGTTACAACTTGACGTCTTCTGTTCCACTGATTAAGAGCTCAGTTTTAAAATACAACCTCTTGGGCAAGTAACTGCTTCCATTTTTAAACTGCAAGAGGTAACTGGTCAGTATTAGTCACTTAAATTGTGGTTTAAGAAAAACTAAGTCTAGCATGCAAACTGTACCTTAAAGCTCAGAAGAAAATCCACATGCACCAAACAAACCAAGAGTGTTTTTCCAATAAACTCTTTAACATTCCAGTTAGTTATCAGGGGAAACATGCAAATGATTAACAAAAACCTGAAAGTTTGTTAACTCTTACAACTTCAAACTACTCAAGCGAAAACTGTATTGGAACAGGTAGAATAGAAACACAAACTTCAACTTGAAGCAACTTTTTGAAAAAGGTTATACTGCATATATTGCTAAACTGAACTGTAGTAACATCAAGTTAATGAATATAGATACTTTAAAGTCTTTGTTGATCAAACACTTTTGAGTACTGCTCTTCCTTTTCTGAAGTGATGCACCTTTCTCTCCTGGAATGGGATAGGAGAAAAGACAGGAAAAAAGATTTCTAGATAATAACCAGAATAAAGCAACTGAAGTTTCACAAAAAGTATCTCAAGACATTCTGTACTCTAACCACCCCCCTCCAAAACTGATAAATACAGCTTCTGTATTCCTGCTTCAGAGTACATGTGCCTAGTGCATATGTCTGTCCTTTTAAAAAAAGGTAGCAAAGTCTTAAATATAACATTAATAAACAACAGAAATTAAACACCCCTTGCAATGTAATCAGAAACTGCAATTCTACAAAGACTGAACACATACAGCAAAAATATGATGACCAGCTACCAACCTGGACTACAGTTTATTGGTTGAACCATAGACTTTTTATAGTCTATATAGTATTAAGAGCCACCATCCACAGTGGGTACTTAACTGGTGTAAAGACTATCAAGGCTCAAACTCAACATCTTCTATCCAAACTAGGGAGTAACCCACTGCCCTTTCAGCAATTTATCATTGAGAAATTGTTAGCCAGTCTTACGCTCTACGTGTCTGTGAGTAGACTTCAGCAATTTTTTTTTATGCAGTCTTATGTTAAATCCACTGAATCAAATTTCCAGCATTAAGCAACTGAGAGCCAACCAAACCTATACCTCTCAGAGCATGCACGAGAAAAAAATTCAAATGGCATTCCAGACATTAATCCCTTCATCTTTATGGTATCCTGTAGGTTAACCAATTGAAGGTCAGCTGTGTTTTAGGGATTTAATTTTGCTTTCACTACATACCTTAAAGTAGTCATCTTGTGATACAAAGGTGTTCCTCAGACGGTTCTCAGGATTAAACAGACAGGATACTACTGTTTGTATGCTCCTGTCCACAGACTTCTGAAATACAGTTATAGGTGCATCTATAATAATACTGATTTTCTTAGTTAGCCCACTACTAGCAATATGGGTGTGTCACAGAGTTTACTTTGCATTCAGGATTCCTCTCAACTGCCTTACACTTCCTGAGCTGTCTTTTTTTCTTCCCCTAAATCTTTTAATCTTGGTAACTCATTATCACTCTTAGATGTTACTTACAACGTAACAGTTCTGACCAGTGACATACCACTTCAGTTGTGGAATAGACTGACAGCTGAAAAATGAAGTCTCCTTTAGAAAATTGAATTCAGAGCCAACTGTTGGCCAAACTGGGGTCACCTTCCACAAACAAAAGTGGAGAAGGGAGTAAAATGTTACTAATTCAGATGTTTGAAGCTTTAAATAAACCTGCACAAGGTAGCAGGCAGTGCTACCTAACCTGGTTTTTTAGTACCTACAATTTCCCCCTGTAATTCTCAGCAGATTAAGTAAAGCCTCGTCTCTTAAAAACACTGTTATACTTAAGGAAGCAGAACACACATTTTATACAGGCCTCAGCACAATACACAAGCACTAATAGTTTCAAGGAAACATGCGAGGCTTCTGAAGTTGTATGCAGAAATCAGATACAGTGGATTGATTGAGCAACCGGCTGAAGCAGCAACTATAACCTTAATTTCTAGGACACTGGTCAGAGGTCCTCTTCACCAAGCCACATAATCCTCACGTGCAAATTTCTGGGAATAGGATATATGACAAAAAAAACATTAAAGTTTTGAGAAAGCACTTACCTTTTGTGGACTGTTAGTAGACGACTGCGTGGGTTCTGGAACAGCACATTCTGTCTGTATAAATTCTGGGTCCTCAGTGCAGTGGTAGCTTACTGAAGTATAAACCTGCATAGTTTTTTAAATATTGCAGTGTTTCAGTAACACTGGGAAAACATGCACAGTTGTGTTGTCATTGGTCCTCACCTATCCACAAGCTATGTCAGCTTTATCTTCACAGTTTCGATGAAGTTTCACAAGTGGGGGAAATACTGTATCCTGATCTGTTTTATTAAGACAGTTCTACTTCCTTCCAAAAAGGATATATTCTGAAAAACATCTTTTCTCCCCACTGTAATCGCTCTTCAGAGTTAGCTCCTCAACCTACTTCCTCCATGTATGGGTTTTGTTGTCAAGCATGTTCAATGAAGGTATTCACTTAGAATTCGAGACAATCAGCAGTTAACTTAAAGAAATTAAGCACTAAAAACCATCTACTACCACTGCCCTTCCAAGACGTTGCTTTTCTCTATACAGTTCCTTTCCTGTTTGAAGCTTCCTTCATGCAATATACTAATTTTTTTAAGATGTAAAAAGGTCTAGAAAAGCACAAGCCATTTTACAGCTTTTTTAAAAACTCTCCCCACTACCCTCTGCTTACAGTGCAGTGCTGCAATTGGCAACCCAGCGCAGAGTTTAATTACAATAGCAGAGAGGCTGATAAAGCAGTTACTCTTTACGGAAACTTCCTTCTAGATACTTCCAGAGAGCATTAGCAGCTTTTACAGCCAATTTTACCAGGATTTCAATGTCAGGGTTAAGCATTCTCACTTTTCAGGGGCAAAACTCCCCCCCCCAAGTAGTCAGATTCACTCAGACTTGACAGTAATTTTCAGTTGCTTGCAACATCATTCTTAAGGATGTTATCTGTGATCATACAGAGCAACCACAAGGTGTACCACCTGACACTCCCAAAAGCCCTTGAACACCAAAACTGTAATTTCAAGCTGACAATATTGGGAGGTAACGGAGGCCTACAGTGTTAGCAGACCGCTCCTTTCTGAGCACCATCCCTAACCATCAAAAGGTGTACCATATCTGACCTCATCACAACTGGTGCATTCCATTTATGAATGGAAATTGTGATTATCCACCAAACAATTAGGTAGGTATAAAGCAGTAGACTGAAGGATGAAGTTTCCTATCTCCTTATATGCCTGTCCTCTTTTGAGTCTGTAAAGAATGATACTTAGAAGTTGCTTAACTGAGATAGTTCTAGAAAACTTGTCTGCTCATATAATCAAGCTTAAAATATCTTTAAACTATGCACACTCTAAAAACTCTTTGGCTTGCTACCATTTAATTGTTAAGTGATATACTGCAGCTGTATAATGTTCATGGATGTTATTCAACAAAAATTAGTTCAAGCCAACAGAGTAATCAGTATTTCAGTGACTCCTGAAGTCTTTTGAGTCTGTTTCTTCCCCCACTAAAGCAAAGGTAATTCTCACTAAGAGAAACACAGACTTTCCATGAAAGGAAAAAGGCTGCTTCTTTGCTGAGAAGCTAAAAGTAAAGCTTAGTACACATGATTGGAAGCAAGCAGGAATAAAGTATTCTTCTAATATGATCAGAGACAGAATTGTCAGATGCATGCAGGCAGCAATATATATGCGCAAAGCTCCATTTTCTTCATTTTTCCCCATTTACCTTCCACACATTCTACACATCCACTGGGTATCAGCTTGAAAGAATACCGTTCAGAAGAAAATTAAGTATTACAGGTTTTAAACACTTAATAGAAACTGTACTCAATAAATACAAGATTATACCCAAAGAACACAAAAATGCCCAAGATGCAAGTTTTAAGTTCCAACACCATTAAAGAAATACACAGTATTTTTTCCTCTCTTGTGGATGTCACTTGTGTAAAGTCACAGAAAGCAAGTAATTTCTTTAGAAGCCATCAGCACATCTACAGTCTGTAGCAGCCCGGCAAATCACTTTCAAAAGGTGTTGAAAGGAGCCAAAAAAAAAAAAAAAATCAGTATTTGCAAAGCAGAATATTTTGCGGCTTTTTAAGTTCTAAAAAAATTTGGAACAATAAGCAGTAATATTATACAGATCTTGTAAGTCAGGATTGTGCATCAGGTCCCCACTTATTTTTCTTTCAACTTCTCATGAAAAACCAATTCTGTTAATGTTAAAATTCCAGAATTCTGTGACCAGAGCGTATGGAGTAACGCCATAGAAAAGGTAATTCTGTTCTGCCAGGCAGCTCCTAAAAAAAACACCACATCAGTAGGAAATCCTAAACAATTACCTACTCTGTCAGCAGCTACAGATTTGTATAGACCAGATTACATACAAATCCAACCAACAAACAGCAGTTTGATTTTTTTTTTTTTAAACTACCAAGCTGTCAAAACAGTGTGCTAATTGAGAGGACAAAGTTCCAGAAGTTTAACTTTGTAGACTTACCGGAGGCATAACATAATTTCTTTGCTCCCCAGCAAGCCATTGTGGTTGAACCTTAAACAAGAATTGAAAAAGAACCAGCTTTTATTCATTCATTTCCAACACAGGCAAGTAACCGCTCTAAGCACCACTATTTATAACATTTCATGTCTGGATTTTTTATTGTAGCTTACAGTCTTCTGTTCAGCAAGATAGGTTTTTCATGTGTACCTCACAGTGGTTTTGGCACAAGGTCATCCTTACCACAAATTCAATCACTTCCTTCCTCTTCTCCTTCCAAGTTTTAAAAAAAATTTAAAAATAAGTTCTAAAGATTAGGAAAATAAGGGGAATCACAGCAGCTACACTGAAAACATTTCAAACCTCTAGTTACTTCCAGTTACTAAACTACTTCCAGTTTATGTTCAACAACAGGACATACCCACACATTTCACTTATGAGTTTGAAAATCACTATCAGCCAAGTACCTTCCCAGACATTTTTAGAGCTCAAGAGCACATCCCCTCTCTATATGTCTCTGTTTTAAGTAACTAACACCAACTACCCACACTATAGCATGTACAAATGCAAAGCTCCTTCCCACGAGAAGAAAGTACTCCTGATCCATGTACCTTTTGCTAATTTGGAAGTTGTTTTATCATTGCATATTTTAAAAAATCAGGCTAAAAAAAGAGTATGCTAAGTTATTCAAAAATTTTCATTGCATTAGAATAAAAATATCACTAATTTTGGTTTTACTTTTTATTCTGTGAAGCAGGAGCTGAAGGGAAATAGAATTCACAGAAACACAGAAAGATCAGACTCCAGTTAACACTGTTCATCCATTCAAGTTTTGCCAGGTATCAAACAGCCTTTCTGCTGCTACTAAAGAATTACATACCTGATAGTTGTAGGCTGGCTGATATCCTACAGGAACTTGCTGCTGTATCAATAAAGCTGGTGAACTGTATGGATATGTCTGCAAAATAAAGCTTTTTTAAAAATGCAAGTTTGAAGCAAGATAAAAGTATGATATTTGTAAAGGTATTTATAAAGCCAGGAGCACATTTTTAGAAACATGTAGTCACATTGTTATTTCAATTCCTGTTTCAGACTAGCTTCATTATTTAAAAAACAATCCTTACAGATTTCCCATGGGGCTTCAGCACTTCAGGCACTAAACACCTTAAGAAAGTGGGTTTCTAAAGTGTATTACAAATCTAAAGATCCCATCATCTGCTTGCAGCCAATGTTTTAAGTAATTTCAGAAGTACAACTCATCCCATAAACTTTCTAAAGTAGACCTGAAACAGACCAACTACCATGGAACACAGCCTGAAGATCAGTTTCTTGGAGCCAAAGGCAAGCTAAGTATTACGATTCAGACAATTTCCCAGCATTTCTTCACTGCAAGTATTTTAACACAATGTTAACCTGGAACCCTACCAGCTTCTTCAGAGAATCATTAAAGGCACATTCCAGCACTTAAGAGAATTAGTTCCTCCTACACTATTTCACCCTCCCAATGAACTCAGGGAATCGGCGAGAATACTACTATCAAGCTCTCTGCCTTAGAAAAAAATATTTCTGCGAGTCACTGCAGTTTGCTCATCTTCATTTGCTTAAGAAAATATACAAAACAGAACCACTTTGCAATTAATATTGCCCTGTTGTACTGCCATATCCTATAGGGTTAATACAGGAAGAGACCATAATCTGGAAAGTCTTCTATTCACAGCACAGGACTCATAACAAGGCCAGAAGTACTCTGCCTACACCTCAGTAAGAATGCTTATCTGAAGTACCAATAAAGTGATGTCCTGTAGGCATAGCGTACTGGTCACAGCTGTTAACAGCAGATGCCATAACACAATGTTCTTGCAAAGACACAACAGCAGTTCAGAAACAAGAATTTGTTTGGCTGGGGGGGCGGGGGGAAGTACCACAGCAAACTTCTGGTTCCATACTTGTTTAAAAAAATACGGTTTTAAGTTTGTGGTTTACCCTGAGGCAGGGCAGCAGTACATTAAATATCCGGATGCATTCGATTTGTGAAATGCATCTGTGACAAGTAACAAGAGCACTTAAGAACTGTTATATAATTAAATCTTAGCTCCACTTTCAACAGTTTTCTCATTCTCAAAATAAAAACTGTCTTATAAAGAGACCACATCACTGAATAAATTTTTCAAGGTTGTTGGCATTCTTTTAAAGTGGTTTGAAGTTGGGTGCTTCTTATTGGGGAAGGTAATATGAAAACAAGGAGGTAAGATTGGAATCTCAGTACATATTCCTGAAGTTCTATGTGCTTGCACCTTCAAAAACATTTAATTATGATTCAAAATCAGTGGCATGAACAGCCTTACCTGCACATACTGTGTTACTGGGCTCATTACAGCTGGAGGCTGCATGTACGTCTCTGTATTTTGACTACCCCATACACTATGGAACTGTGGTGCAGGAGGATTGAAGACTAATGGTCTGGGATGCACATAAGAACCTTATTTTAAAGCAAAGAAAAATAAAGTATTCAGACATTTTCATGTGCATTTCATCAGTAATCTGAATTGCAAAAAACCTTAAGTGTTTTGACTCTTAAATTTAAATCAACATTAACTGTATTGTATTGTGCTACCAACCTCAGTTTTATTATCAAAACTGTACATCACACAAGTAGTAAGGTCATAAAATTTAAAACTTAAGTTTAATTGTAATATACATATTACATCAGATAAAAAGGATTTGTAAGGATGTTAATGTATAATTAAGGAAAAAACCACAAATTTGTAACATATACTTGTAATATGAACAGACTTGTTTATACATACTCACACAAGTTTTGTTGCTTTCTAATTGCTGGCCCCAGTTTCAGCTTTTTGCCATGGAAGTTGATTTGTGACTGAAAGACAGGTTATTCTGTAAGCTGCAGAATCAGCGAGGTGGGTGGTTGGTTTGATTTTAAAGAGACTAAACTCTGCTTCTATGTCACAGTATCATCGACTTGCATACAGGCTCAACAGCCTCCATTCTCCTCTCCCACCTCAACACCTTATGTCTTTTACCTTTAATTTCCTCTCAGCTGTAATGCTCTCAGCACACCTGTTTGCCTACTCACCAACTCTCCAAACCTATTATATATCACTTAATAGCAACACGCACTGCTAGTAGTTTGCAATTACATATTAGTGACTGTCAGCCTTCTGGTTTTATACATAGAGATTCAAACTATTCTTGCCTCAGTAAGGATATTAATGTAGAGTGACCATAGCCTAGGTTCCCTTGAAACCTTATTTACATCGCACTTACCTTCCTTCCCACAAACTTCCTAACAGGCTTCACGTAACATGTTAGAAGCTGTCCACCTAATATTAAAGGAAATGGAAGGCTGTCTAAGCACTACCGTTTACCTGCATGTTACTGTATTCTCTCTAGAGAAATTTTCATGTGCATTCTTTCAGAACATCCAACATGCTGATATTTCACAACTTTTTTGGCCAAAAGCACCTATGCAGCACACAGACTAATCAAGAAAGAGTGGAACTGAAATATGTTTCACATTCCTCAAATACCCAGGAATACAAGCATCTGAAAGACTGGCAAAACAGGGCTGGAAGCACTCCTCAGTAGTCAGCAAATGCCTGAGACACATGTAACTTCTCATTCTGCAAGTTCTGCCCAAATGCTAGTTCACACAGAAGGCAGGATTTCAGACTTTCAATGATCAAGTACTGCTTTGCCAGCAGAGTTATCTGGGGCCATAACAAAAGCACAGGAAGAATTTCAAGCACCCTCCCTCCCTGCAGAAGTTGAATTCTGTGTTCTTCAGCAAAACTGGTTAGTTTGAAAACTGGAACACTCACAATGGATGTAGGCTGAAATGGCACCACAACATCCTTACTCTTCAAGGTCTACTTGGACTGACTGTAGAAGCGGGCATGTGAGATTTTGTTCTCTACAAGATTACAGTTTAAGTCTGGAGTAGAGAAAGTTGCTTTAATACGTGGATTTAAGCAGATTAATGTTTATTCAGGTACTCGGGAACTACTCCACACAAAACTCCCAAAAGAGAATTCACCTTTGGGTCTGATCTCACATTCTCTGCCAAGATGGTACCAAAAAACATGTTTACCTACCTATGAAGATGTGCATAGCACACATGACACTACCTAAAGCAGATACTCTGTTAGAGTTCAGAGGGCTACACTGAGGTTTACAAATGCTTTACACATCAGAAATGAAAGATTTTTGGTTTACCCCAATTAACACAAATTTAGTACCAAGTATTAAAATCAGTATTAGATGGAGATACATAGTCTATCTAGATTCTCTGTCTCATGCAACACTAAGAACTTGCCTGCTTCAGAACAAAATACGCAGTTTGCAATTTTAACAGGCACCTCGCTAAGCCTTTTCCCCCCATTTCTGCTAAAGAAAGTGCTTCGAACAGGTAACAGCAACTTTATTGTTGATTTTAAAAGTAAGTAAAATAAGCAGAATAATAGTGATATAAAAAAATGTCTTATTTGATCATCTTCTCATACTGATAAAAATAAAGACATGGGTGGAAAAAAAGGTGAAATACCCAGACCAGTCTGACAGGTTTGGTTTTTTTTAAAATTGATCCTGCAATCCTGTTGTGCCCAGAACCACGCAACCACCTTTTCCACTTGAGCAACAGGAGGTCTTGAAAGACAGGCCTCCCCCCAAAGCAGAAGGTAGCTTTCTGTTCTGAACTGCGAACAGGTTCACGCTGGACCACAATGCAGTTACAAATGGAATCAGATCTAAATCAGAAGAAAAATACTTTCAGGTTGCACAAAGCTACAGAGCTAAGCAGATAAACACAGGCATCTAGAGTGATTCTAACCATGGAGAGGCTCCATCTTGTTCATTTACATAAAAAGTTGTGACCACTCAGTACAGATAATGCCTGAAATGGTTTAGTGAGATGATCTCTGCTTATGACTTGAGCTCTAAAGTGGGAGATGTTCATTCTTTCCCTTTTTCCACCCCCTCCAGAAGCCAACAGCTTTGTAAGATGATTTCTATCTGGACGTGCTTCTTCCTGATAAGGCAGTAATTTGTGCTGCCTGTACACCTGAAATTTGCACTGAAAAAATCTGCCATATACCTCTGGGCCTTCCGAGACCTCTGGTATACAAGTCACATCAGTGAGTACTATATTAATAGAGATACACTGAGGGCTTTTAGTTTTGAAGAAATGCACACAGAAAATCAGCAATGTACATGGCTCAAATGACAATGCTACTCAAGAGCTCTCTACAGACATTGCTGCCTCAGAGCAAGCATTCCACACTGATCTAGTACAATAAATGTTAGCCACGGTAAAAGTATTCTCAAATAAAGTCTGTTGCTCAATACAGCAGTATTTTTGTCAGCATACCATCAGAGTTAAAGAACAGCAAGCTTTTGAAGTCTTTTGGTGAGAATCAAGAATCTCCTGCTGGAGTTTCATTGCTCTCCACTTTGTTCAAACATGTTCTCTTCCCCCTTAAGGAGCTGGACAGCCAGTAAACACATCTGAACATATCACAGAACACTAAATTTGTGCCCGGCACATTTTCCTCTATTTGTCTTGCAGATCTACTTCCCTATCCAAGAGCTTCAGAAGGAAATGAGAGATTGTTCATCCTCCAGAGACATGAGAGTTTTCTGAGACAAAGACTTCAGAGAGGGAAATATTTCAATACATGTTTATTTTCACAGTTACTGCACTCAGTTTTGGGAGAAGAAGGGAAAATAAAGAGCTTTGTCAGTGGTTTGTGACCTGCTGAAGTCTTATCAAAACCAACTAACAGATTTGCGCCAAGGGAGGTTTAGACTGGACATTAGGAAAAACTTCTTTACTGAAAGAGTGGTCAGGCCTTGGAACAGGCTGCCCAGGGAAGTGGTAGAGTCACCATCCCTGGAGGTATTTAAAAGACGTGTAGATGAGGCGCTGAGGGACATGGTTTAGTGGGCATGGTGGTGTTGGGTTAACGGTTGGACTTGATGATCTTAGAGGTCTTTTCCAACCTTAATGATTCTATGATTCTATGATTTGGTTGTAAGCCTTGAGATTTCAAATTTCTCTGATACTGAACTCTAAGAGCAGAAGGGCTGTAACAGTTCTACCCCTTTACCTTCTCTGTGACCTACAGAAAAATCATATGACATGTGAACAGTTGCATCTTACAGTCAAGGAGGCTTAAAAAAAAACTTGCACTCCGGGCAACATCCAAATGCACAAATACTGCAAGAGAGAAACGTACTTCAACTGCTGAGACTTAAGTGAAAAACTAATGCTGTTTTCTATGTTACTGTTATTCCAAATAATAATGCTGACAGGTCGACGTATCTGCCATAAGCACAAGGGTTCTATGACAATCATCCAATACAGAAAGTAAGCAGCCAAAAACACATGAGGCTTTCAAGCACACAAATGAATGACAATGACCAGAAATGCAATGACACGAGATGTTCAAGCACACCAAGGCTAAAACTAATTTTGTTTTTTACTTAAGTAAATATACAAAGATTCTACCACCAGTAGAGATTTCAGCAAGTTTACTTTTTGGGCAGCCCTAGACTTTCCTTGTCCTAATTTACTCTACAGGGTACATGACTTGGTCTCCCCTGAACATGTCTCCAGCTTCTTACCAACTTCTTCAGATAATTTAGACAAAGAGCTTACTTCTACTATTTTTTGAACATCCACGTTGTCCAGGAAAGATACAAATCCATACCTAAAAAAAAAACCAGGTTATTCAATAACCAGATTTTGATTTGTTTGTTAGCTCAATTATTTTGAACAAGACCAGTTAACAGCATATATGCCAGGTACATTAAACTGATGTCCTACTTGATACTTTTAGCATGCAATGTATAATTCAGCATGAAAATGTATTTACTGCTAACTAGCAGCATATACTACTGGGCCAGATGAAAGAAACTGAATGCCAGATTCTAGAATAATATGAAATAGATGTAAGGGCTATTCTTCCATTCCAGGTACTCAAAATAAGCACTATTGTTGATATTACTAACTGAGAAAGTTAAAAAAACCTTTTAAGTATCAAGATCTGAATGATCATCAAATTTCCTATTTACTACAGAGGTTTGGATGAAAGCAGGCATTACAGGAACAGTGACAGCAGTGGAAGAAGTGATCCCTGAAGAGGTTTTTTAATTTATTTCACTGCCCCTCTGGTTTATCCAGTCTTTAAAGTGAAGATAGTTTCAGAGCATTATAGGAACAGTTGTGTTAATCAATGGAGTATGCCAACTCATTATCAATACTCAGAACATATACTAGCTAATTGCACATCAGAATTCACTATGAAGACTAGCAAGGGATATGAGGAAATAAAATAGATCTCCAGCTCATGCATTACTACCTATGCCTAAAAAAATGTGACTTTTTAAGACCTGCTCATAGAATCTTAGAAAAAATTGGGCTGGAGGGAACCTCCAGAGGGTAAAGCCTCCTTCTCAAAGCAGGGATAACTTCAAAACTGGAAGAGCTTCCCCAGAACCCAACAAGCTAAGGTCCTACACATCCTTATTTAAGTGTTTCACTGCAGACAATTCATAATTTTTCTATATTATCTAACAGGAATTTCCCTTGCTTCAACTTTTTTCACTTACTTAGTCTCACTCTTCACCCAAATAAGTTTGGTTGTTCTCTCTGAAACTTATCCCTGAGTGTCAGAAGAGTGCAGTCCCATGGCCCTGAAATATACCATCTACCCCTTCTCCTAACCATCCTGAACTCTCTCCAAATTGTTGTTAACTACTCTAGCCATCAGAAGAGTCCTACAGAAGAACTGTCTGCATAAGCATCACACAAGTTTCAAGCTTTGTTTCCACTGGTTAAGTGACAATAACCCTCTTTTCCCTGAACAGACAGAAGTCAGAAAAATCAGGCTATTCTTTGTAAGATTATACAGATTTAGGGGCAATCTAGATTTACAAGTTTCACAGTGTTAATTCACCACAACAGAAAACTGCAGTGTTAAGGCTTAAGCATGTCAAGTGTGTTGCTAAGTAGCTGCTTATATAATCTATGACAGAGTTATGTCCACATAAGCAGCAACTTAAAACAACTATTCGTGTTCCACTCACCCTTTGGAAACACCAGTTCTGTCAGTGATTATTTTCACCTCTTTCACAGCACCATATCGTTCGAAGAAACTCCGAATTTCTGCTTCATTCATCTAAAAGAAACAAAGTCTTAAACTTCTCCAAACATATTCAACTCTTTAGCATTGATTTAAAGAAGCCAGTACCATTTTTAAACCCATCTTCTACTAGTCTAAGAACTAAAGTTACTCACCTGTTCCAAAAATCTCTCATGACACTGTAATACCTTAAGATTAGTAAAGACACACATTTTAACAACAACAAAAAAAAAACCACAAACAAAAAATACAACCATACCCAGAAGTCAAATTCCCATTTTCTTCCCACTGAAGTGTCCTATACCTATCTTAAACAATTAAAGTATATAAATACCCTTATATCAATTCCACCAACAAAGACTGTGTTTGGCATGATTTTTCCTTCTGGTAAAACATATCCTTGACTGGTTGTTGACAAATGAGCATTATCCTCTGAGACACCTGCACACTGGGCCTCCACATTTGCAGACTGAAAAATTTAAACAGAAATACATATTTCAGTCAAATTATTATAGTACACTTTAAGATACTAGAATGCTTGCATCTTCCTATGGATATAGCATGGGACAATGAATTTCAATAGCACCTTTCCAATTCCTTAAAGGAATTACTTGCTGCAAACAGACCATTCATTGGAAAAAAGTTGAAGTAATTTTTCTAAGAAACTTTTAAAAATTTAAATCGAGACCTAACCAAGGCTACTTTTAAGTAGCCCTATCTGACTATATGAAGCTTCATGACCAGTGTTGTTACTACCAGACATACAGTGAGAATGCCAAAATAGTTCATTTCAGAACTTTACGAAATTCCTTTCGGATGTAAACAAAAAATTAAATTCTTTAAAGATACAATTTACTGTAAACTGATTATCCAACAGAACAAATTCCATCATCTTCCTGGTCAAAAGCTTTAAATACTTGAGATTGAGTAAGCTTACAAACTAGAGCACAGGTAACAAAGTTATACCACAAGTTAACTGTAAGAAGGGAATTCAGACATTGAAATATTCATGCTATTCATTTTCTCAGAAAAAAGATTTTGTCAATTCAACTACAACAGGAATGTGAATGACTACAAACTTGTTTCTGAGTTGTCTGCACCAAAGCAGAAGCTTAAGCATACATTGCATGTAAAGAACTGCAAAGAATATTAAGATTATAGAGCAGCTACAGTCATGATGCGCTTTGCACACCCAGGCTTCAGATGCACACTTTTGGTCCTAAAGCATTTTGTCACAATGTAGGAGTTATGGATTCATTCAGCACAAAGGAAGATACGGTGCTCCCTAAACACACAGTAATTCAGTATTTTGTTCAGATGAACAGACCACACGCAATTCCCTTTCTTGTTACTGATGCTAGCAAAGATGCGTTCCATATTCTGCATGAGGTTTGAAGTGTGTTTCACAAAGGTATTTACAAGAACTAAAATACAACATAAGCACCACAGGCACTGCAAACTCTAGCCCCTCTCATCTTCTACTCTCCTGAATGAATGGTCCTAGCTATGTGCCATGCTTTGCCTGTCTGGTAGTTCTTGCCTGTCTGACCAGTTCAGTGTTACTCATCTCTCCATATTAATGCACTTTGAAATATTAATAAGCTTTTCCTTACAATTCAACTGGTGTGCCATTATCCCTACTTACATATTCCAAACTTTGATTTAGTCAAAGTTATCTGGTATTTTGAAACCTAATAATTTGCAATAGGTAGCATCCAATTTTTCAGTGTAACAATTTTCATGTTTAACACACATTTAAACTGCAGCTGTGAATGAAAAGTACTCATTCAAACTGGACACCTAGTAAGGGAATGAGAAAGTTACAAGAACCAAACTACAGATGGCATATGATCTGCCCAGCAATTAAACAAAGCCAAAACTAGAATTCAGCCCTCCAAATACAAATTTCAGTGCGACTGAACCAAATTAACAACACATCATTACTAAAAGCCAGAGAGGGGTTTTGCCCCATCTCTTTCCCCACACCTCCTCTGTCCTCTGTACAAGTTCTAACACTCATCAGTTCAAATTAAGCTGGCTCAACAAAATTTGGCAGGAAGATTAACACAAAGTGAGCAGTTTTTCACTCAGTTAGTATTCTGCTATTGTAGAGAATTGAATCAGCTTACTATGCTATCAGACAAGCACCAGATCCACCTCAGGATCAGTGGATGCAGAAAGGGAAATGGAGATGGAGGAGGCTTAGCCTCTTCTGAGAAGCACTAAACCATCAATGCAGTTCAAAACCATTTCATGAAGCTATACCTTAGACAGAATCTGGTTCCATCACACCAGAAACTGTCGCCTACTCAATTTACTGACCAACTACTTGACCAAACTACTCACCAACTTCCTACTGCAAATTCTCAAGAAGAGTTACAAGTCAATCCTTTCCCTTTATCCTCTTTAAGAACTCCTTCTCTACCCTCCAGTGAAGTTGGAGACCGCAACTTCCACTGTTCCAGGTAATAAAGATTGCATAATAGAACATTTCTGCTGTAAAAAGAAAAAGGGCAGTTTTCCCCCTTCCCTTCTATTGTACCACGACAGCTCTTTACACCACTGTGCAAGGAAATAAATCCTACATTTCACAGGAGAGAAATTTTGTAGTACTTTTCAGACACATCCACTTCTGATCCAAGCTCATTCTGCAGTTACGTAAGTACTTGTACTAGCATAAGAACACAACAAGGGCAAAAATGAAGCAAGAGGTGGGGAGGAGACCACTTCTTTGGCGGCACCCCCAGCTAAAGGGCGTTTGAACTGAAGTCTGAGACTGCAACTCCACAGCAACCTTAAGCTGACCTAACTGTTGGCTTCTACTTCTTTCTTTCTAGATCTGTTTCAGCGAACCAGGCTAAAAGAGAAGTATTCACTTTGCTGTGCAAATTCTCTGGCAACCTAGAACAGGGAACAGCTTACAGCGGAGGCACCCAAAAAGTGCCAGAACCAGCACAAGGAAGTGGGTAGGCATACAGATATTGCTGGTACACAAGTCATAGATGGCCTTGGCTGCCATGGAAATGCAGCATTCGTTTGTCACGCTAGTAACACAGAACACAGTTTTCAAAGAAAATACACTTATTTAATGCTTTTATACATTAAGTATCTAAAAGAAAGAGTAAACATGCTACTTGGACATTCTGACAAATTGGTCAACATCAAAAATAAGCTTTAACATCTGTTAATACATGTATTTCTTAGAACTCGAAGAGGAGCCGAAAAATACACAGTGGTAGAAGTCCTATAGTATGAAGACAGGAAATAGAATCTCCTTTCAAAGTTACTTTTCAAGTCTTCAGTGTACTACAATACAAAACTTTTGCCAATTCAAACGAAGTATTTCCCCATCTAAAACCAAGTTATTTTACCAGTGCAATGTGTAATTGTTATTTTACTACCTCATGTAGCGTTATGTAAACGAATGTACTTCTACATACAGGTAGAAGTATGGGCAAAGTATGTACTGTATGGGCAAAGAACTCACACTGCTGCTGAATCAGTGTCCAAAGCCTAAGCTACCTAAAGTTTTCAAAATCTGGAAAATCCTGAAGTTGATGAATTGGCTACCCTGAAATTATAGCATCAGCTGAAGTGACCCAACCCTTCAAAAATACCTTAAGTGGGGTTAATTTGTCTATTCATCTCATGAAGTACCTTTGAAATCAAATTTCCAGATGTCAGGAAACTTTGGGCTTACTGAAATCAACAGGTTTTTTCCCTTCTCTCATCACAAGGTAAATTTAATCAGTTTGCTCTTTGCATTATTAAAGCAACCATGAAGTTTAAATTGATGCCAGGAAACTGGATTAACCTCTTGATTACAGTAGTCATGAGGCTAGTTAGACTTTTGGCAAAAAAAAAAAAAAAAGGTGGAAAAGGACTACCATTAGGGCCAGGTGGTGGAAATTCCTAGCTACTCAAGCAGATTACAAACACCACTCAGTCTTATGCACATCTAGAAGATGAAAACCTTCACTCTTCTTGTGGCCACAGAAGTACAAGTCCCTGATTTCTCAGGCTCTCCCCGTCTTTCCCTGACCTCATACACTCTTTGTTTAAAATAAGTACTAAACATTTTCTTTTTTTAAACATTTAAAACTCCTGATATACCTCCTGCTGTGCAGGCTTTCTGTGCGCAGGAATCGGTTACCATGACAGCACACTACCTAAAGAAAGAACATGGCTCCCGCTACAGGGAGAACAACGTACTCTTCCCACGAGGCAGCAGGTGGAGCTCTCAGTCAAGCACTGTAACACGCTCGCACGCGAACAGCTGCGACTTGTAAGGCTTAACTTTTTAAAAAAAATACCTTACTTTTATGTTGTTGTTGAAGTGTCTGGGTTGCAGTCGCAAATTCCATTTTTCAAATAAAAAATTCCTGAACAAGAAACAGCAACCTGCATGGCGAAGGAGCAACGTGCGAGTTCAGGCACTAACTCCCACTGCCCACACGGAGCCCACAGCGGACTACGCGAAGCCAGTTTT